ATCGACTCAAGAGAAAAAGTAATAGTGGCCGCTTTTGAAGTTCTATTCAGCCCTAGTCTTAGGACAAGTTTGAACAAGGCTCGGCTATGCGCGACGTTGACTTCTGTTGATACAGTTGACCGTAGAGGCGCACGAAGGATTACACCCTTAAGACAATTAAATTTCTCAGCAGTAGCCCTTTGAATCAAACAAATTAAGGAATGTAGGCTAATTTCCTGGATACTCGAAAAGCCCAGCCAAAATCTGTTTTAACCGCAGAGGAAAACTTCATGCAGTTTGTATGTTAAATTTTCCGACTTCGGATCAAATGCATTCTGGGATCGTAACTTTCACACTTTTTGAATCTCGAGAACCGAGGCTAGCCTTATCCTCAGTTATAAGTATCACGTTATCTTGCAAACGTAAAAACATGTTTTTTTTTCTCGATTTTACTTAGAATACAGAGAGAAATATCTCTTGATAGCAGTTTGTGTAAAAATGTAAGATGTAATGTCCGGTAGTTTTTTTTTTGATACCCCTTTAACAACTGATTTACTGCGTATTCCAGTTAAGACAGGTTTACTTCTTTAACACATTTGCCTTGAGCGTTCCTTAATATTTCCAGGGCTTTGGAAGTTTTAGGAAAAAAACGCTATCATCATTTATGCCTTAGGTTAGGTTCATGATTTCGTTGGCGTCTAAACAAAAACTGTTTTTAAGTCGAAATTTCCCGGCCGAGCCAAGCGAGAAGTACAGGCAGGTCAAACCACCTAACTTTTCAAGTGCTTGACACAAGGTATCAAGGTTGAGCTCATGAAAAATTCGGCTTTTGACCTTGACCTATGAGATGCTGAGCATCCTACACATGTTCCTTGGTGAAATGAAATGACGCATAATGAACGTTACTTCAACTTGCAGGTGGCTTCACCGGCCATTCATCAATTTCTTATATGAGCATTCACTTATGTACTCTGGTTTGAAAACTCAAACTGGTTTCTGGTTTTAAACTATCATCTGCTTTCATCTATGTAACATTTGCAAATGAGTAGTAGAAGCCATTAATTCAGTGTTAACTCAATGAAGGTTAAAATTGATAAAGGCTGATAGTTTCGAAAGAAACTGTTTGGAGCTGCGTCGGTGGGAGTAACGAAATAATTTGGATATATCAACAAAGTTGAAATGGTAAATTGGCCACCGTAATGATTACAAAAGCTGACGTTTCGAGCGTTAGCCCTTCGTCGGAGCGAATAGAGGAATTGTGGGTTGTGTGTGCTTTTAAAGGCAGAAAATGGAGCTACGTTATTGGTGGGTGCATGGCAACGAGAAAAACATGAATAAATTAGTGGAATGAAAAGCGTTCATTGATCCCTGTGGGATTTAGACTGCCGGTTTGAAAGATGAGCTTTTGTTCAAGATTTTTACGGCTTTCCGTGCCACCTAAGTGCAAGGAAAGACCGCAGATTGCCATATGTTGCTTAGAATGATTGGGTAAATTAAAAATGTCTAGCGACTGGTTTCGATGTGTCCTTGTCATTCCTTTCCACGTCTCGAAGGTGTTCTCGGAATCGGTCACCTAGTCTTCTGCCTGTTTCGCCGATGTATATCTTTTTGCAATAAGTGCAAGTTATGCAATAGATTACATTAGCGGAGGTGCACGTGAAGTGATCGGTGATCTTAATGGATCGTTTAGGTCCCGATATTTTATCAGTGTTGTGAATGAAAGGACACGTTTTGCATCGTGCACGAGCGCATTTAAAAGTGCCTGGTTGCTCATTAGTCTGAAAAGAACTTCTGACCAAAAAATTGCCTAAGTTTTTGTCGCGTTTGAATGAAATGAGCGGAGGCTGCGAAAAGATAGTGC